ATACATCATGAACATAATGAATCCGATCAGACCATTTGTGTAGGAAGGGTGGATCAAAGAAGAAACGTGCACAATGTCTGAAAGAAAGGAAGACAATTAAACCATACACAAAAATCACAATTTGAAAAATAAGTAATTCAACTCACCTAGCAGGGTCATAGGACTGCAAATATTTGTAGAGATTCTGAAGGCTCTTTGGAATATGTGCGACACATGTTGGCAAAGATTCTAGATATTCTGGATATTTGAGATTTCCAATTTCCTTTGCTTCTTGTCGACTATCTTGTACTGAGATTCCATATATAAAGGATACAACCTGAAACAAATTATTCTCCCACACCCCACGACTCCGACGTACTTCCACCTTTGATAGAAATTTAACTTTATTTCCATCAGTTATGTACACTGAGTTGAGCAAATGTGGATGGTAATAACGTGCTGGAGCATAAACCATCAAAAAACCAAAAAGAGGCCTACAAGGACATAAAAGACAATAGAAAGATCAAAAAATAATAGGGATTGTGGAAAATTAGGATGCCCTAACAACTAAAAAGCCAAGAATGATAACAAATCAACCCAGAAGGAAGATTCAGTAAAAGCATTTGAACAATTTCAAAGGTAGTCCTGGCATTTTAAATAACAATACAATGTGATTTTCACTTTTCTCAAAATAATAACCAGTTAACCACATATTTAGGAAAATACAAAACTACATGCCATTTTACCTCAGTAAAGATCGTCCAGATATGGAATTATCCTGCTCCTTCCAAATATCTCGCTTACGAGTTTCTAAAATTTGTTTGGTCCAAGACATGAGTGTGGACTTAAAAGGCTCACAAATCAGGGTGTCATTAGGTTCATCATAAGCATACACTTCCAAACAAAGATCTGAAAACCCGTTCCCTTGCATACATGAAGCAAAATCACTATGATGAGATACGTGTGTTTTAGAGAAGTTTTTCACTATGCAGCATTCCTTTTTCACAACACCATTATCATAAATCCCGTATAATATATTGGCATCATTCAGTGGATGAGGACGATTTACTGGCCAATAAGTGGTGGTAATGTGTACAGCTTCTCTACGCCTACAATAGACAAATTACAAATCGGCTTAAAATGCAGAGGATAAACATAGAAATTATTAAATGTTGATGAACTACTAAAACATTAAGAGATCAGGAACTAAGCTCCGGAAACAGAAGACAAGTTATTAGAGTTTACCTATCATCGTCTTCTTGTCCTGTTGTTAGATCCTGCGGTCCTGTTAAAGCAACTGAGGCGAAAAAAGTTAAGAATTCATAGGATTGTTAGATTGAAGAGAAAACGAAAATTTAATAAACTATATAAGTGCCACCTGAAAAAGTCTAATTAGGGTTCATAAAGGTGTTACAATTTAAGTATTAGGCTGCTAGCTAGGGCAATAGAAGCGGCCTGATATAGGCGGTTGTATAAGATGCGATGATGATGAGGGAGGAGAGAGAGGGGGCAAGAAGGAAGTCAAGATCAAGCTGTATTAGAAGGAAGATGGTCGTTTTTCATCTGAAGAAAGAAGAAAAAATTAGGAAAAGAGAGTGGAAAATGGGGGAGAAATGAAGGTTTTTCTCGTCTATTAACCGAAAACCGATTAGGGTCTCCAGATCAACCGAACTGAGGCTCAGATTTTTAGGGCCAAAAGATTGTTGTGGCTCATAAGATTTTTAAAAAATAAAAATTAATTAATTATTAAAAACAAAAAACATAAAACCCTAAATCATCTATCTTCCACCACCGCCTGCACCATCTCTTAAAATCTTTTCCTCTTCGAGTCTCCAACTCCTAATCACGATTTATTTTCAACCTGCAACAGATTTTTACGATTTTTCACCGAAACCGGCATTTGCCCCACCCGTGATTGACAAATAAAAAGCAAAATTTTAGTTGTATAAAATCCACAGTAGTAATAAGGAGGAATTTACCAAAAAACGAATCTAAAAATGGGAATTAACTTGAATATAAATAAATAAGTACTGTAACAACAGAAAATTTTTTTTTATCGAATTTAAATAAATAAAAATAATTAGAGAACCTGGAAAAGAAGACATCAAGCTTGCTTCTGTCTCTGCAGTAGTCTGGAGCAGTAAGTAGTCTGGAGTAGGGTGGGTAGCTGAAACCAATTAGCCTCCATAAATAGGGGAAGAGTAATGATGGAAGGGACGAAAACTGGATGGAGGGGACGAAAACTGTGGACGAAAACTGGGAACGAAATGGGGGGTCGACAGGTGATGAAGGGGTCAAATTAGTAATTGCATCATGAATCTTGCTTCAGTTGTCGTCTCCCATTTCTTCTCCCATTTTCGTTCCCTCCATCATTATTCTCTTGGGGAAAAAGTTAGCACTCCAATGAAACACGTTGAGGAATGAGGAGGTACGGCACCAACAATAAATGGATGAGGAATGCTAGCTGCACTCGCCTTTCTCCAGCACTCTCCAACACTCTCTCATGTAAAATGTCCACGGAGCAAAATTTGGCTCGCAATTCAAAGTTTCCAACTAGAAAAGTTCACGTGACTATTTTAGATGAGGGAGTGTTGGAGAGTGCTGGAGAAAGGCGAGTGCAGCTAGCATTCCTCTAAATGGATTGATCAATCCACAGGGACAAGGGACAAGGGACAAAATCACACCGGGATCCCTGACTTTTGCTATTTGAATGAAGATAAGGATAACTGAAAAGTTTACATAAAGAGTAATGACATAATTTATGTTATATTATTAAATTAATTAATTTATATAATATTA